ATAGATAGATAGATAGATAGATAGATAGATAGATAGATAGATAGATATTAGGCACAGAAAAGGAAAAAAATAAACAATTCAAAATGCACAAAAATGTATACATTTTGATAAAACTGCATTGAAAAACTTACTTGAAAAAAGGTTTGAAATCCAGAAGGAATACAACTAAGAAGAAGCTTCAAAGCTAAATCATCAAATGTCTGTGAGCTCAGGTTTTGCCAATTTTCAGATGTCTAAAAGTAAAACTGTTCATGTGCCAGGAAATCACAGAGGTTTTATGTGGCAATGCTTGTCAAAATATTGCTAAAAAAAACTGCAGAGGTTAGGAACTCAAACCCCATGAGAGATCATTAAGACATTGGCAAGCTAGCAGATAGATAATTCAAACCAATATTGTGATGTTAGGTCAGGGGAAATAGAGCGGCAGTGACTGAGAGCTTGATATTCTGGCCAGTTTGTGGTCTGCACATGTGCATACTTTGCAGATCCCTGTCATTGGGAGGAAACTAGAAGCACCAGATTATTTTTTTTCTCCTTTGCTAGAACATGTAGAAGGGAAAAATGCTATTAAGAATAACTAGTGGTAGAGGGGCAGTAATGGAGCAGGTTTTTTTTCTTTTCTGGCCAACAATTAGAGATGGGCATGAATTAAAAAACCTTTCTGGCCAACAATTAGAGATGGCCATGAATTAAAAAATGAATTCCAACATTCATTAAAAAAACTGGTAATTCATTGAATCATATTCCTCTGAATTGACACCCTCAATGAATACAAATCATGCAATTTGTAGTGATTTTTTGATTCATTGATTATTGGCCCTTTACCTCTTTGGTAAAGATACTGAAGGTGCAGAGTAGTTTCCCTTCTGCTCTTCTACAATCCTTCCATGTTTGGTGAAGATCAGGTTTTGAATATCCAGTTCGTACACCCACAAAGAGGGCCCACACAGAAAAGTTCCTCCCAGGCATCTAGAGAAAAAAAAACTGCAGAGAAGCTTTCCCCCACTGTCCTCTACAATCCTTCTAAGTTTGTTTAAGATTGGGTTTCCCCAAGCCAACTGCTAGCGTATGATGGTGTAAAAAGCCAACTGCAAAAGGGCACTAAAGGTGCATAAATTATGATTTCGATGTCTCTAGCTACCCGTATGTGATTGTGTAAGTGAACATGGTTCAGTGCAAAATAACCTGCATAGCATTATGGTCATGTTATATTCAATAAAACTCACCAATGACCATCAAAACTCACCACAGTCCTCAAAAAGTTATGATTTGTGGAAGAAAAGAAAGGCTTTATTCCATTAACCTATTGCTCATTTCAGCAGGTAAAAAACTGATTAGTTTTGTAGGCCAAAGGAGACAAAAATAATGTTGTCTCCAGAGTGGACCATTCGTCCAGATAGGCGGGATAAAAATCAAATAAATAAATAAAATAGGATTCAGTTTTAACATGTTTATTGTGGCATAGGCTTTCACCAACTGGAGTGTAGTTTATCGAATATAGGAGTAGTTATTACCATTTATCTAGCATAATTCTGTACCCACGTGCACACAGACACAAACACACAGGAATAGAGAGAGAAAGAGAATGAGAGATAGAGGCATAGAGAAAAGAAAGTCTGTTACTGTGGTGTTTGCCACCCCAACCCCAAAATAAAGACACGAGACATTATCTTGGGTTAATGCGGGCCACACTTTTATTTAACTTAATAACTTCAAGCAACTTGCCTTTCGGCCGAACAAAATATATGGGGGGCCTGCTGTAGTGCGGAAAACCGTTAAACTGGGGGTATTTCCAATACCCCCTGATCAACCAAGGGCGAGTCCCCGGCCGCCAAGCTCCTTCGGTCCAACGACCGTCGGATCCTGTCTAGCCGCTAATAAACACCCCCAGACCTCAAGACATCTTTGACTGATTCCTCAGACTAATCTCACCTCAGATCTCCCAACTATCTCTCTATCTCTTTCTTGCTCTCCCTAACTCTGACTGAACTCTACTCATTGACTCACTCCTGACTGACTCTTGACCGACTCTCCAACTCTCAGGCTTCCTTTTCATCTCTCTCTTGGTTCCGCCTCTCCACCATATCAGCATAAAAGATGAATAATACATGACTTATTTTGCATAACAAGGGGTGAACGCTACAGTTACACACTGAGGTCAAAATTTGGGGAAGGGGAGTAACTATATAGACATTTTTAAGTTACAAAAATAATCATTGTTGGCTGTTTCTAGCCAAAATCCTGTGCTAGAGAATTTAATCCCAACTGAATTTTGAGAAGTTAGGTAGTTAGCAAATGTTGTGACTTTGGGTTGCACAACTGGCTCTTTGCTCTCCACCCAAGATAACACAGGACTGCCCCAGTCTCTCGAGACTCGCAGGTGGGAGGGGGGAAAGCCAGGGTACTTAAAGGGCTTTCCTCCCTTCTCACCACCCTCTTCTTTTTTGGGCACCCACCTGCCCTCCCTATTTCTAGTGTGAGTTTTTCTGGTCATCTTTAAGGGGCCGGATAGGAATTTTTGACCTTCATCCTCATTGGCCATTGGATGGGGGGATTTTTAATTTTTTTGCCTATTCCACACTGGAAGAGGGTTGTTGGCAATTTGGTGAAAAATTTTGGTCACATGGGCAGGTAATGCAGAAAAAACAGCTATTTTCGCTGAGTCCCACTGTAATTTCAGGCAAGCCAACAGTGCATCCAACTTCCCAGCACTGCGGATCATGTGATTACAGTGCCTGTGGGGGGAAGATGTGCTGGGCCACTTCTGGACCAACAGTCATCAACGAAAGATGGCTTGAGGTCTGGGGGTGTTTATTAGCAGCTGACCAGGTTCCTGCTGTCTTTAGACTGCTGGAACCTTGGAATAGCCCATTTGTTTTGCAAGGGGTATTTGGATACCCCTGACATGTACCTGTTTCTGCACTATAGCAAATGCCCCCCTCTTTTGCCAAAGGAGGGCAAATTTGAATTCGGATTTAGTTCAATAAAGTGTGGCTTGTATTTAACCTATATCTTTGGGAGGGCAAAACCCTTTCGAGGCAGACTCCTCTATGGCACTGGTTCTTAACCTTGGGTTACTCAGGAGTTTTGGACTGCAACTCCCAGAAGCCTTCACCACCAGCTGTCCTGATTGGGGTTTCTGGGAGTTGCAGTTCAAAAGCATCCGAGTAACAAAGGTTAAGAACCACTGCTCTATGGAATCATTGAATGCCTAATGACCTATGGTAGCCAGTGCCCCTGACATAATCATACCATTCCAGTCCCATCTCTGGTGTTTCTATACTCACTGCAACTAAACACAACTACACAAACACACACATATGAGTTTGAATTGCAGGCACCTAGGGATTTCTGTGCAACTTGGAACCATGCATTTTACTCACCCAAAGCTCCCAATCAAGTGTGGAAGTAAATTTATTTGTACAAAGGAATGAACACATGAGGTTGTTGCATTTTTGTCATTTTAACATGCAGCTGCCTAGAAGATTGACTGATTAGTCTCATTCTCAGTCACAGTGTTCAATGACTACCTGCTGCATTTTGGTGAATTTGGGAAAAGGTGGATCTCAGAGGGAGATTCTGCTTTTTACAAATAACATTTTGCTCTTAACTTTTCAATAGCATTTTTCATTTCTGCATTTCTCAGCGTGAAGATCATAGGATTCAGCATTGGGGTGATGAGAGTGTACATCATAGAAATGATTTTGTCTCCTGGAAAAACCTTGAAAGGTCGGTCATAGATGATGATTGCTGGTCCAAAATTTAATGTCAGGACCACAATCTGTGCAGCACAAGTAGAAAAGGCTTTCTGCTTGCCTTCCGCAACAAGTGTCCTGATTTTAACCAGAATGACAGTATATGACATGAGTAAGACAAGAAAAATCACTGAAACATTTAATCCACTGTTGCAAACCATCAGCAGCTCAGTCGTGTAGGTATTTGTACAAGCTAGTTTGATCACCTGGGGCATGTCACAATAGAAATTATTCAGTATATTGGGACCACAGAAAGGTAGCTGAATGATAAGTCCAGTCTGGATGATAGAGTGAACAAAGCCTCCAGCCCATGCCCCTGCCACCACACCTGTACAAACCCCTCGGTTCATGATCAGCACGTACTGCAAAGGTTTGTAGATAGCTATGTACCGATCAACTGCCATCACCACAAGGAGTAAATCCACAGAACCACCAGTCAAATGGAAGAAGAACATCTGAGCCATGCACCAGTGATAAGATATAGTGTCTGATTGCGACAGGAAACCTCTAAGCATCTTGAGTGCTGTAACTGTGGAATCACTGATGTCCATGACTGCCAGGTTGGCCAGGAAAAAATACATGGGTGTGTGGAGCTGATGGGTAATAGTGATAGTGATGATTATGATGAGGTTTCCAAGCCACGTTGTCATGTAGATAGTTAGAAAAATCAGGAAAAGAGTTAATTTTAACCTTGGCTCCTCAGTGAGGCCTAGGAGAATAAACTCTGTGACTTTTGAGGTTTTGTTGCCCTGATCCATTTTGATTCTTCACATTTGCCTGCAAAAAGCACAAAACAGAAAGAAAAACAGACAACAAAACCATGATAGCACATTCGCAATGAAAGAAACATACCTTCAGCACTGCCCATCACAGATACTTTCTTGGATTTCTCATTCAGTTATGACAGTCACATATAGTCAAGCCAGAAACCCATTCATGCAACGAAGTCCAGGAAGTCACTGAAATGTTGTACCTTCTGCCAAACCCAGATGTCTGTTCATATAATAGAGGGTTGTAGGAGAAGACTTTTGGAACTGGATGGTAGAACTGGTTTAAAGTCACTGGCGAGCATTTTAACAGTGCCTTCTTAGTCTGTTGTTCCGATAAGTGATTGGCATGTCTGGTTCACCACCATTTTCTCTTTTCTCCAGAACTATCAAATTGTCTTACTTTAGAGAGATATTTTTAAAACTCTTGGAACCATATTCTATAAATCTACTCTTTATGAAAGGAATGCAATATGAAGGTGGAGATCACAAAGTCTTTCTTGGGTCATACTGGTTATTGGCCCGTTTCTGGTTGACTTTTAGCACTGATTATGTATCTTCTAGATTATTCATCTGTGCTCGTCTTACAATGCTGTCGTGGCGCAGTGGTTAAAACGCTGTACTGCAGCTAAAACTGTGCTCACAACCTGGGGTTCAAATCCCAGGTAGCCGGCTCAAGGTTGACTCAGCCTTCTATCCTTCCGAGGTCGGTAAAATGAGTACCCAGCTTGCTGGGGGGGCAATGTGTAGCCTGTATAATTAAATTGTAAACTGCCCGGAGAGTGCTTGTAGTGCTATGGGGCAGTATATAAGTCCAAAAAACAAACAAACAAACAAACAAAAAAGGTAGTTCCAGCCCTTCCTGGATGAGAGGTTCAGAAAATGGTGCTGAGAAACTAATAGTCTGTGTTATGGTCTTTTGCCTACGGAGTGCCACAATGCTGAATCTTATCTACCATGACACTCCTAGATGGTCTTTTGGAGGTTTAAATTGAAGACTCCTTACATAAGACACATGTACTGGAGTAACTAGGTAATTACCTAAGCGGGATTTACATTGAGTCTCAGATGGGTTTTAGCTTTCAATAAAGGACCACATGAATAGGGCATGCATCCTCTTGACCTTGGGACTAATTTTGGAAATACAGGCAGTGATGGTAGCCAGGAGAACTGTCTACCAGGCTAGTAGTCCAGCTACAAAACTATTTGAAGATGTCTGATCTTGCTTCTAGTATTCATGCACTAGTGACATCCTCACTTAGATTACTGTAATGCTCTAAGTAAGGTTTTCTTTGAAATAGAGTTTTGTTTTAAATGGAACATATTTGGAACTTGTCATTAAAAAAAGGTGGCATTTATAATTCATCAACACAAACATATGTCCTAAGCAAGACTTTTAAGATCTACGCACTAATGATGTAACCAGTACTCACAAATCTTGTCTCTCTCAGTGAAAAAAAGGATGTCTTGACATGCCATGAAATGTCAGTTGTGAAATTGTTCCTTCCTGCATGAAAGCAAAGGACCAGCAGCAATATTAGCAATAAACTTAAATCGTGCACAAGGAATTTCATGTCAAAAGAGAACCTTTGTGTCATGTGCACTTAAGAGGAATCACATAAATTCCCAGAGTTAACTGATAAATTGCCGGACCTTGCCAGTCATATGTCCTGTTGTGCTCCTGTACACAAGGCTGACATGTTATATCAATTAGCCAAGGTAATTAATGTGTAGTTTCCAAAGAATTAGCCATGTTAATTTGTATAAGCATAATAGACAAAAGTGAAACAAGAGACAAAAACATTGTGGCTGCTTAAGGACTATCTACTATATTTCAGTGCAAACCTTCATAGATTAAGTCCACTTTCTCAGACACAATATAGCAGATAGTCTTTAAGATGCTACAGCATTTCTATATATTTTTATTTTTATGTATTTATTTATTGTCTAAAAACTTACATGATCCCTCTTGCACGAGCATAAAATCCTAAAACGAATTTGGCCACAGTGTCTTGCAAAACCCACTTCTGCAGACTTTAATGGGAAAAGTCCTTCTGATTAAATATATCCATATCTCTAGTAATCTTCCATGCAGAGGAGAAAATATTTGAAATAGATATATTTTTACATTCTTTAAACCTAGAGTTTCATTTTAATTCCAAAAACAGCACAAGCTCAAAAGAGGAGTGTTTTCTTTCTAATATTCACAGTTTCAGAGGACCAAAGCTGATAAATATTTGACATTCAGTAATTCCAAAGAGGAAAGTTTTAAAGGTTTTTCCCCCCTTGTGCTAGCTACCCAAGCTACTGTTTCTTTAAAAAAATAATAATAAAAAATAAACCATCAACTCTGCTCCCACAAAAACCATCCAACAACATATAGTATTCTGACATATTTCCTGGTGGATGAAAAAGTGTCCCTAAATCTACTTCATCTGGTGAAGGTAATGGTACAGCAAATGGCTCCCTCAAACAATTGACTACGAATGGATTGCCAGCTGACATTTAAGTAATCAAATATACAACAGGCAGGATATCTGTTTATCATGACAGAATGTAGCTCTTTGCTTCCAGTGTAGCAACTGGGTTTTATTAGACTCCGCAGAATAATGATGCCTCTAGTGTGACTAGAGAGTATTATCTCAAAGGAGATCATTGCTGGTGGAGAAATTAACTCTTGGTTAAACATTGAGATTGGATGTTTTTTTGTTATCTTTTTAGAACACTTCAGGATTTCCTCATAAAAATGGATTCAGGAGTAATGAATGGAATATTGTAGCAGTTCTAGTGCGGTGCAGTGGTTAGATTATTCAACCAGAACTCAGATTCTAATTCC